ATTGCTTGAGTGACTTCCAGACCTACTGGTTCTGTTCACATCTCAAAATAAAAATGTTACGCTCTCCTACTGCTGGTGCCATGCAAATGTCTGCTACTGGTAAATGAACCTGCTATTCTACATTTCAGAAACTTACAAGACTTGATCGGGGATCACAGCTACGCTTTGCTCCCAGGTTACCAGCCACTGCTTTAAAAGTTTATGAACTCAGGATAAATCTGTAAGACAATGGGATGCTGAACACAGAATGAGAGAGCATCAAGTTATAGCAGCAGAATTCTCAACAGTGCAAGCAGCAGTCTTCACACAACTCTGGCTGCTACACCACTACATGCTGCACTACTATATGCTACTATATATTACACACAGCAGCAATGAAGCAGGTTTAGGCAAGTTTCTGGGAAACATTTTCTGTTCACAATGAGGCATATGGTAGCACGTGCAAACGTATTCGTTGGACTATTTTTTAAATGACTGATCAAGACTGGCACAAAAGTTTCAATCTTGTTATCGTATGACGTTAGATCATGCAGGACCTTAAAGCAGACAAACCACTTGGTTTCCTCAGCTGAACTGAGGAAATTATATCCTGTCTTCTCTGTTTTTCCTCTGGGAACACAGAAAAACAAAGATCGCCACCTATAAAAAGCGCACATTTTCATAACCACCATAGACCTATAAAGCTATATGAAATCATATACGCCTTATGACTTTTAGTGTGCTAATACGAAAGAAAAATATGTGAAAGCATCAATAAATGCTGTCTTTATTTTGCCATTTCTAACTACTTAACAAGCTCTGCAAAGATCATGAAAACCTCCTTTTCACGAAACCAGATTTTATAGGTCTGCTGTGATGTGGAACCCTGGCACAGGTTGCCCAGAGAGGTGGTAGATGCCCCATCCCTGGAAACATTCCAGGTCAAGCTGGACGGGGCTTTGAGCAACCTGATCTAGTTGAAGCTGTTCCTCACTGCAGGGGGTTTGGACTAGGTAACCTTAAAAGGTCTCTTCCAAGTCAAACCATTCTATGATTCTCTGTCTCTAGTCCTTCCATAACTGCAAGTGGTTACCAGTTCTCTTATAAAGCTGGAACTCGTTTTTGCATTTATTGCACTGAGAGCATGAGATTTTGTATGTTTAGAAGAGCTATCTGTGACACGTATTTAAATGCAGCATATCCTGGAATATGGATTCACATGCTTTATCTAGAAAAAATCCTTCATTTAAGAAAACAAGTTTATTTTAAGAATGGAAAAGTTCTAAACTGTGCTTTTTGATAAAATCAAAAATTTCTCCAGATCTGCTGGTATAACTCAGAGCAAAAGCCTGACCTAAAGGACATGATACCTGATATATTAATTTACCAGAGAGACGATTCCTTCATTTTTTATCTCACCTCTAATTCTGTCAGACTTTTCTGAAAAAGTGAAAAGGTCAAGAATCTGATAATTCAACTTATACAATGTTCTCCTTCGTCACATCATATCAGAATGAAGGATGATTTACTTAATTTACAGTACTATTAATGTAATTAGTATATTATGTCCTCTGGATCAAATTTTGTCCTCATTTCCACCAATGAATCGAGACAGACTTACTGTTTTATTAAGGGCAGAATTTGGAACAGTTAGCTATCTCTCCTTTTACATGTATTTAAGATGAGGAAGGCATTTCAAAACTGTACATAACCTGAAATTTTTGAAAGATACTGTCCTTACCAAGTTTCATGTTGTATTTATGGACCAAAATCAGATGTTTAGTTATGTACAATCTAGACAATACTTGAGAGAGGAGAGATGATGTTGTTTCTGAGTATTGCCTGTTAGAGGAACCATAACTAAAAAAGAGTTGGGCAGCTATGCCTGCTTTTCTTCAGATTTGAAGACCTCAACTTTTCTGCTGCAGCTCTTTGTCATGGGAGTGCAATTTCACAGATGTATCATTTAAGAATAATCCTACACAGGACTCTGAGTAACAGGCAGTCTGAAAATTCATCTTATTTCCTATGTATGATACCCCTTACAGAGTAGTTACAATATATTCCTTAGAACTTCTAATACTTAACTCCTCCAAGGGCATGAAGACGGAAACAGTTCCCAGCTCAAACCCATATACAACCAGTGAGTAGAAGTCTTTGAGAGACACTGGCAAAGCCTCTCAACTCAGTATAGCCTCACCTGATTTATAATCCAAATGTATTTCACTCAAATAAGCTAAACAAGGGAAGAAACGGACTTACAATTGAGAGTCTATCAGGCACTACATTTTTAAATACAAATCAAAAGTCTTAAGGGCTCTAAACCAGTTTCGTAATGATGAAGGGTCATATAACAATTCTTACAGATTTATGTTTACTCATGAAAATGAGATTAATGAAAAATTGTATTAACTAAAAAGAATGCCACAGATGATTAAAAAGTATAGTTTTCTTTGTAAAAACATACTACAAAGAAAAAGACTTCAGGCAATAACATGCAGTGGACTAATTAGAAAATGAAAGTAGGCCATCTTACAAAAATCATACTGTTTAATCAGGCCATGAAAGCAATGCAAAGGGAGCAGCAGAACACTACAAGTTGTCGAGTCAGATCTTTTAATTTCAGTAAGAAGCACACAGATCAAAGAAGGATTAGATTCTATCATAGCATCACATGGATGACATACATATGAAGAAAGTAGGGCATTTACACACACTCTCTCACTGTGGTGCTAAAATTTTAATACTGTTTCACATTTTAAAGATAAGTGCGAAAATGTATCTCTTGGCTGATTACCAAAGTCTCCAAGTTAAATTAAGTCTTCCCAGCTGAGCTAGTCACACCCCAGTGAAAAATAAAAATATTTCTGGGGGTAAATTTCTTAATGCAAGGTGTCAACCAAGACATCTAAAACCTTCTCCCATATGTCTCGTATACAAACCATGCTTTGCTGTATGCAGAATAAATAAACCCATTCTTTTCCCATGCATTCTGGGACTGTAACGTTTAGAGATACAGGGAAAGCAAAAGGAAGGGAAGAAAGAAGTGTTCTGGTATACCAACAAAACCTAGACAGACAGGCTACAGCTTGCTGAAAGCCAAAATTAAACTGCCCAGAGGGCTGCTTAGGTCTAAGACAATCTGGATGCATCCCAGAGCTAGTCTAACCAGGCCTAAGGATGCTGGAAAGCGCCACGAGGGTCTGTATGTATAACTTGAAAACAAAAACTGTTTTGAATTAAAGTTATGAATGTATTTTAAACTGAAAGACAAAAAGGTTTGGAAGTTTTCCACTGTTGTTAATAAGAAACATAAATAGTTTAGCAGTGAGGTGGAAGAACCATCTGCAAGACAATGAGGAGTTTTACAGCTTTTGCCTCCATGAAGTGTTTCGAAAGTGAAAACTTGAAACAGCTTTATAAGTAAAGTGATTTTTTTCGCAATAGTTGGAAAGTAGTTACAGAAAAGCTACCACAACTTTAAACACTACTTGAGTCATTAGAGAGCCCAAAACATAAAGGAAATCTTCAGCCAGATGTCCTGTTCAGTTCCCAACATGTGAACCTTTTTAGTTTATGAGAACACAGAGCAAGATTGTATACTTCAAATGACTCAGCCCAGGAAGGTATTGCTCCACCTTCTACAGTAGGGATGCTCTAAGTAATGATCTGCACACTGAAGTTATCTGGCAAATCACAGCAAGGGTCTGAGCAAGCCACCTGAATAAGACAGAGTATATTTAATAGGGAAGCAGAGTCTGGTAAACCTAAACCTACAAGCAGCTGTCTCTGTGAGAAACACAGTGTGAAAACACCGTGATAAATAGCTAACATCAAGAAGTTTGGAAGTTTATTCTGGATAGCTAGAATACCATTTGAAAATTACCATAACTAATTTGCCTTTATGTGATTTCCAATATATCTTGTTTTGACTTGTATAACTAAAATGCTTAATACTTCTGTGTTGACTTTGTGGCTACGAAAGAATAATGCTAACAGAAAAAGACAGAACCAGACATTTCTGTCTTGGCTTGGAATGAGCCAAGTCTGAGTCAGTTTTCTTTTTATCTACATGTCTAGCTTCCAAAATTAGAAGAGATTAAGTTGGTGCAGATTACATGCTCGTTTCTGGAAATTCAGCTTTGAATTATATAGTTGATTATTTAACAAACGCATGGATATTTTTCTTTTATGGAAAGTCTATGAATTCAGAAGCTTTCAGAGCTCTCAGACTTTATTAAAAATGAATTCTGAAGAAAGTTCAGCATATCTACATGGATGTCCAGGGACATCTGTTTTACCTTGTTATGTCAACCATTCTCTTCAACAGTTAAACCCACATGCATGCAGTGATGAAGAACATTCAAATGTTCTCTTTTTTTCACTTAACATTTTTAAGTGTTTGTTAAAAAACTTGGCAGAGGACAGTGCTGGTGCAGAAGTCATGAAGAGTTTGATGAGCAACTTAAAATAGTCCTTAGGAAAGACAAAAAAATCTAAACATTAAATAATCTCCCTACTGTGTAAAACTGCATTCAAAATACTGGATACTAGTCTGCTTTGCCCCTCAGCTCATCCACTTTCTTACTTCTGTTATTTTTTGAAATGAAAGTACAATATACATTCTATGCTTTAAGTCAATGGAATGAAGTTTACGACTTTAGGGTCTGTTCTAGCAAAGAATCTGTAAACTTTGTCTTCATTTCCACCAGCTATTTTTGTGGCTCTGCTACGTAACACTAACTGCACAAATAGCTACATTAAGAACATTTCTCTATATTCAACTGTATGCCCCTTCAACACAACACAGATAGGCTTCTTTGAATCCTCCATGGGATGGGATCAGCTTTGCCATATCTGAAGACTGATCCCCACCTCCCTTCTTGATCCCTGTAGTGCTACTAACTCCACTGGGTACAGTCGTGTACGACTGCTGGCAGACACATTTGGAAAACATCTGGGAATGCACAAGTGAAGTTATTTTTTTTTTAAACTGGTGCTTTTTGCTGATGCTTGCTTACCTCATTGTCTGACTCCACAAGCACTTGATCATATTCACTAAGAGCTACTAGGAACATGATAGATGTGACATTTTCAAAGCAATGTATCCATTTTCTTCTTTCTGATCGTTGGCCTCCTACATCCACCATTCTGCAAAATTAACATCCACATCAACTCCATGAATACCTTAACAGATAAACACACAAGGACACATACAATAACAAAATCCAAGAATTTAGTTGAAAACATAGTTTGGTTTGTTTTTCTTAATGATTTTTTCCATTGATATTTAATGGAATCTGTTGTAAGTAGACAGGTAATCATATTTGCTTTTAAGTATGATGTGTTCTCTGTATTTAATTTATTGTGGGACTCAAAGCCCTCAGATTTCTGAGATACAAAGGCCTCATGAGCCATGATTTGGCTGTGTATGCCCTGTGTATTCATGAGAAACAGATGTGAACAGAATAGACTTGGTGGTCTGCCGTTTTCCCCCCATATTACCAGAGTGAAAATATCCAACTTGTTAAAGCTTGCCCCATTTTACGAGGACAAATAGAACACAGTATGTAAACAACTGTACTTGCATTCAAGTAGGGTGATTACTCTCTAAGGCAGAGTAATTTCCCTCTAAAAAACAACTACATGAGTGTTAACTTTGTATTATGTAATTTAGATGAATTACGAGGACACATAATTGTATTTTCAGATTATTAGTCATAATGAAACTTTGATACGTATTATTGAAAAGATGAATTGCAAGTTTTCTATCAGTAATAACCACCTTCAGAAAAAGACAAACCTAGTTGTCTTTCATGCTTCTGACATCTTTAACAGCAGCTCCTTATTATATGTGCACAATTACATGAAAATATAATGACCAAGCTCAAATTTTAAAAACATAGAATAGTTGCTTTTTATGCACTTTTAGCCAATACTCTATACATGGTATTACTAATGTAAAAGGAAATGACAAAGCAAGTGGGTGTTAAAACTTTATTTCTACCTGAAAATGACGCTTTGTAAGTCGAATGGATATTCAATGATCCCTGTTGTTGGGACTCGAACTCTGAGCACATCTTGCTGAGTTGGCAGATAGGTGGAATCTGCTATGCGGTCCAAGTCATTAAGATAGCTATAGACAGGGAGAAACAACAGGAATGCAAGACAGTAACACCATCATCCCACTGAGGAAAAGATAAAGGAAGACTTGGGAATGGGTATGGGCTGTGGGGTAGAAAGAAGTACAACAGAAAAAAGAGCATTATCGGCATAAAAGAGGGGATAAAGTATAAAAATGTGCTCCATCATCCCTTCCTCTACACTTTCATAGCTTCAAATACATTCTACAGAAGGGTAGCATAATTATTCTGGTTTCTTTAATGCACGTTTGCTTGGCTTTCACATGTAAAGTCACCAAAGATTCAAAGTTTTCACTTACATAATTCTAGGCAATTTAGAGACAAGTAATACTATGAAACATGTGAAAAATACAAAATTGCACAGCTGTATTTTAATATGTAACCTTTATCTTGATATTCATTCTGCAGTGTCTACACAGGTACATGGATAGACAAACATAATCTCCCAAGGAATGATGAACTGCTATAGAACAGATCATTATCAGTTATAAAATGATAAGAGGATAAATGGTACTGTTTGGGCATTTAGGAAAGCAAATTTAAAAAGGAAAAAACCCACCCACTGACAAATTAAAAAATTCTCTGCATCCTGTTATTGGAAGGCAGCACTGATTATTTAGTCGTATCTCTGACACCTGAAATTCCTGCATTCACACAGAAACTTCCCATTAACTTAATAAGCCTGCAGCACATGAAATGCACCCCAGTCAGTCAGCAAGTAACCCAAAATTGCTCTAAAATTGCTTGTAAAGGTTCACTGACCACAACACAAAGCTATTCTGCTGTTTCTTAATGGTGGGTCCAACCATAAAGCACCAGTGTACTCGAAGTTTTACTTAATTATCATAAAAGACATGCTTCGAAAAAAGAAGTGTACCAATGTGTGTGTGATAGACTGTTCAGGTTCAGGAGCTGGACATCTCATGAAATCAGTGCACCAGGCAGCTTGGGCTCTCCCCATGGTAGAAGTCTGGGAGAAAGATTGCTGCAGGAAATTAAGTTCTTGGGCATTTGGTTACTTCCCAGCACAAGAATGACAGAGTTAGCCACTGAGGAGATAAATTAAACTATAGATGCCCTCATTCATTCTAGGGGAGGAGAGGAATGGTCTTGTAATTTATTGAATGATCATGAAGTATCACTAAGCTCTGAACATGTTCTTTTCCTTGTAGTTATTAGTGAAGGTGCTCTTTTTAAATAAACCCACAGAAGAAACTGTTAGGTTTCTTCTAGATGCTCTGAATAACTTGTTAACAAGATAGTGAGAGCAAGTTATCCTGAACAATGACAGAAATAAAGCAGTTTGATTTCTACCTTACAGCAAAAATACAGAAGAACTAATTTGTTAGCTCTGGAACAGAGCCAAGAACATTATTAAATCTCCCTCACTAAAATTTTATTCATGAAAGATTAATCTGATAGTAAACATTCAATGTCAGAAAGTTACACATAGTTAGAAAGATGTATTGAACCATGTTTCTCAGGTAAGTCAGAAGCTACTACTCCGAAAATATTTTATAAGAAGCCTGATTAGTTCCTGCCAATAAGAAAAAGCCTTGAAAGTATGAGGACTTCATCTGCCCTCAGTTGTTTTACAGAAAAAGAGTGGACAAGAACAACATCAATTTGTTGGGGGAGCAGAAGTGTAAGTGAACGAAATCCATAACCACCACAATAAGAAACTGACAAGAGACCCTGAACTAGCTTCTTCTTCCCTCCCACACCACAAAAAATTGGTTTTGTTTTGTTTTGTGAATGTATTTTGGAAGTGTACAAAGAAGCATTGTGGGTCATTACATGCTAAAGTGAGATTCACAAGAGCAGGAGAATCTTAACTTGAATAAATTGTTAGACGGCCGATTTACACGAGTGTCTTGTATTCCTTTGTCAAGCTTCAGCTGTGGTCTCCAACATAAGCCTGGTTACTGCACCTCTGCACCATCAGCACAGTGGACGTGTTACTAAAATATGCTGTAATGCAAATCTGGCTGATTTTAGAAAGGCAATAATGTAAAGGTATACTATTAAATAATTAAATTTCATTTGAGTTACCGGAAAACGTTGAAAGGGCAGATGAGGCGTTTTTTTTTTTCCCCTAACACAAATCACTGAAGTAATTTAGTTCCAGAAACATTAACATATCCTTAAAAAATACGTATCTTTTCCCCATCCTCATTCAGTTCTGCTCAAGATACACTCATTTGATCACTGAACAGCAACCTTCTCGCTCATTTCACCTGTAGCACCTCACAGAGCCTATACAGTCCATAGAAGAGTCCTTA